GGCAAAATACATGCAAATATGTATCGAAATACAAATACAAAATACTTCGCCAAAATTGTATTTAATTACAAATCTAATTACATTTCCAAAAAAACATTTAAGTACAAGATACAAATACAACCAAATGTATTTGGTCTCCTCCAAATACTTTTCCAAATACATTCCTCAAAATTTGCGTCAGCGACTTCAGGGCACTTGCAACGGGTTTCTGGGTATCTCATTTTAATTTTGCATCGCACACTCGGGAGTTAGTGTGCGAGGCTCTAGTAACGTAATAAAAATATAATCACAAAAAATGTAATCAGCTTGGACGTTATAGGTGAAAAAAGTACAGAGCTTCAAGCAGCTTTTTTTGCCGATTACATTTTGGTATAGACCAACAAAGAACCGAGACGACCAAGACGCGCAACACTATAGCTAGAGAATTTCTTATTGTTGCAACTCGCACCATGCAGTTACGAAAATCTGGACGACCCAAACATTTAGAATGTTACAGGCAAAAATATGGATGGAAATCAGGCTGGAAAGCATCACAAGTTGTCACAGGCACTTACTTAGCCAGTCTGCCTGTGAACGTCGATTTCGTCACTATTCTTGCCCTGGACTAGCACCGTGATCACAAAGTCACAAAACGCTTGTGCTTGATTGAGAGACACTGCATTCGGTGCAGAACGTAGCTTTCTTCCTGCTCTGGACAGTGACAATAAATTTGAGGGATGTATTTTCGCCCACAAATATGTATTTAATTACAATTGTATTTGAAATATCCACGTTTTAGTATTTAAATACACACGTCAAATACATTACCCAATTTGTAATTAAATACAAATGCAAAATACACAAAGTATTTAAAATACGTATTTCAAATACTTGTACTTGAAATACTGCCCATCCCCGATAGCGGTGTTCCGACGGAGTGGAGACGGATCCACGGGAAACGTAATAATTGAGTAGAGCTGTTTGACTAAATGCGCGAACATCGGGAGCAGTTTAATTTATAAATCACAGTGGTAATTTTCTTCTCTCGAAAAATGGCTCCTGAAAGAGGAGACCTCGTAACACTTAGGCAAATTATAAAGAGCCGATTCCCACCTGGACAAGAACAGCTTCTCTCAAACTGCTTCGATGATTTCCTTATAGCCATTTGATTGCCCCCCGGCTTTCCATTTTTCAACTGCTCATTTGTTAGGTCTCACTTTCATTGTTTCTCTCTTTGGGTTTTCCCATCATTTAGTTTACCTGCCTCTCTTCCCCGCTTCTAAGAACCGGACCAGGCCGGTGAACTCGGTCCTATATTTCCTTTATTCTTATTTTTCTTCTCCTCGTGTTCTTTTTTTTTTTTTTTGATCTTTTCTTTCTTATCTTGGATTTTGAGGACCAATTTAAGAATCGAGTTAATCGTAGCGGCGAGGGCACCAATCGGCACTTTCCCGCAGCCCGCTCGCTTCTCTGCCGAATTGAAGAAATCGGGCACGCTTACCGACGACAGCGTCGCGCTATGAGGGGCGGGCCGCCCGAACGGTTTTCCTGCTTTTTCTCCCTGCCCTTACCGTATTAGCCAACTACCCAGTCGCGTGGTTTTATTGAGGGGAACAGGTGCTTGGCACACCTAAAAAGGGGGAAGAGACCCGGAGAAAAAAAAAAAAGAGAAAACAAAATGGCAGTAAGCGTAGCGTGTCGGGTTCCCATTGACCGCGACTCGCGAGTCACTGGTGGTGACTTTCTTTTTTTCTTACTTTTTGTTTTTTGTTTGTCTGAAACTGCTATTATCTTATCGCCATCGGCATCGCGAGAGCGGGGCGACCGCTGGCGACACGTCACGCTAGAGGGCTCCGCTATTGTCCCAGGGGCGGATGCGGCCCATCTACGGTCGCTCATAACGAGCCAGATGGTGGTTTCAAGCTGCGGTTGCGCTCACGAACCGAATGCCAGGGTTCTTTTTGTTATTTTTGTTTTTATTTGTTATGACGAATTGCTTCGAAATTTGCCTCGGAGAAGTCGACACGTTAATGCGATACAAATTTGAAAGCAAGAAACGCAAATCAAGGTCATTCGCCTGCCCAACAAACAAACAAACAAACATAGGGAAGAGTCTGATAGTCCAATATCATTCGGACAGAGTGCTTTAAGCCGTCCACCTGCTACAGCTGTCTTGAGCAAGTTTTAGTCACTGTAAAACGTAATGGTTAATGTATCATCTAACCCACAAAAACAACCTGTTAGTCGGACGCCTCGTAAAGTGCGACTCGCCAATCCCCGAGCTCACGTTCCACGATGGTCTTTAGAGAACCGCGTGACTCTCACTCCTCACGAAGTCGAACGGTTCAACGGCTCACCCTATAGTGTCCCCGAGATCAGGAGGCATCAGCCTGTGTTCACACAGGTGATTGCTTCAAAATTCAAATTTGCCGTTTAAACGGACTTTTACGTAGCGGAAAGCTAAGTGCAAGGCACCACGTGCACGATAAACGTCCAACGAATCATGGGACGCGTCGGAATAATGGTCGGATCTGACCAATCGGGGCCTCACGGCGTGAGGTCGTGATTGGCCGGCGCCTGGCCGGATTCGGCCGTCACTCCGAGACGCCTTATACGACCCGTCAAACGGTTTGTCGTGCATGTCCGGCGTTTTATTGATGCCTCGTAATTAGGCCACTCCCGCCTCTCCCTGTAGAGAAGCCATTTTGCAGGTGTGGTATACGGTCATCGCACGCGCGTCATTGCGAAACATTCCACGTCATGAAGCGGCTACTCAAGCTAGCGTACAAACAGAATAGACCAATCTCACCAGCCAGTCTGACTTAGGGTGCCTAGTCTGACTACGCCACCGCTGCCGCAATGCATCGAGGGAAGTTTAGCCTTTCTGCACGTGCTACAACCCCGCTGGAGCTCTGCGCGTGTGAAGCACGAGACGGCACGAGCCCTCGCATGCACGGCCGTCTGGCTCCTGTGAACTAAAGTTATGGCGGCGTCACGCATGCGCCAAAAGCTTAGTGAGATCGGTCTATAAAGGGTGGACCCTGCGTTCTCGATGTGCTCGTGGATTATACTCCGTTTCACCGCATGTTGTACCGCAGCGAAGACTAGAAGCGCGAGCTCGTAGCGTTGGCAGCTGCCCTTAATGCACGAGAGCTTGTGCAGCCGAAATGTACCTATAAAGAAGTGAGCTCGATCTTGTAACCTTCACTGCAGTACATCATAAGGTGAAATAGAGTAAGGCGTTGGGAATTCCCCTTGTCAAGCTGAATAATAACAACAGCGTTCGTTTTAATCGTAGTTAGCTCAAATGACAGTGTTACCATCGCGAATGGCGTGTAATGTCACCGACAGATGTAACATTACAAACGGAGCATACATATTTTTCCCGCTAAATTGGACGGGGAAGTTTACCATGTCACCTCACGTGACCACGTCACGTCATGTGACCACGTGACGTCGCGTGTCAACGTGATGTCACGTGACATGCCGACACCTCTGGACATATTCTACGTGGACAGGAGTTTGGCAGGAACCTAATAATATTTCCTGAATTTTTTACTCGTAGCTAAAGGATTCCGTGCTTTCGGAGTTTATTTTTCGTTAAGTTCTGAGGGCGCTTCTCGGAGTTAATTTTTCGCTAAAAATTCGGGGTTTATCGAAGTTTATTTTTGTGAAATAATTCCTTAAAATTCGAAGTTAATTTTACAGTATTCTTTTATTTAAAAATATATATAAAAAATATATATAAATAAAGTCCGGGTACCATGACCCGTTTTCCTGAGGGAACCTCGACGTCCTAAGAGACAAACCACTTCTATCAGTAGTTCTAGATTTCAAAGAAAACTCAAGTGGCATCTCCTCAAGACCACTGACCCTGTGATCTTATAAAGCTTATTTGTAAAACACCCCCTTTTTTGTTTGTTTTTTTTATTTTGTCGTTGTGACCTCGAAATTTGGAGTTATTTCGGATGAATTCGAATGAACGATACATTTACCGGCGAGTGCTATCCGGATTTTGTTTCGGATTTGGAACCCTACTCGTGGCATTTGGAGCTATAAGGCCCATTCACACAGGCACCTTCGCTTGCGTGTTCTTAGGTTACGTTATAAATCACGCAAACATTCACGCCTCGAATGTTCCGTGTAAACCCGGGGTCACACTACTCCTACACCATACAAAAGACAGTCTGTATACATTGGTCACCTTGACACCTGTGGTTCTCATGCCGCGTGTCAAGTTTCTCTTTGAACTCATTGCCATGCGGCATTCGAATCACGGATCTCGCGGTGACTCGCGTTCAAATCCGCACGCAGACTGTCTTTTGTATGATTTATAATCAGTGTGACCCCGACCTTAGACTACTCCTCAAGCTGGCTGCCACTCTTGATACAAATCACGGATGTTCCGGCGACTCTCGACGTAAGTAAACGTAAGCTCCCGTAACATAAAGCAACATAAGCAAAGAGCGCTGTTGTAAACGGGCCTATTATATCCCATCTCAAGGTGCAATGGACGCGAACGCGTCGCTTCAGTCAGTGCTTTCCTCGCACGAGCGCTCATTCAAATAGACAGTGACATCATCTGTGATAACACACAAGACTAGTCTCTCCGGAGCTGATATAACGAAACAAAATTCGTCAATTCAAGCGAAGTGTTTCGAGCAACGCGTCCCGCGCTCCTCCGCCCCCACAAAAACGTACACAATGTTGCCGCTCATTCACACTGGAAGCGGATCCGCGTTCGCAAAGCGGTTGCGAACGCGGTTGTATAACGATCCAGTACAATCGCACGCGCACTCGATGACATCAAGTGCGCGTGCAATTGTACTGGATCTTTATACAACCGCGTTCGCAACCGCTTTGCGAACGCGGATCCGCTTCCAGTGTGAATGAGCGGTTAGAGTGGCAACTTTGCGATCAGTGGGTAAAACGGCGTCCATAGTTCCATCGGTCGCCCGGTCAGGAGCACGCGCCCTGTAATATGTGGAGAGGTATATTGCGGCAGCAGCAGAGGCACTCACCCGTAAGCGGCTAGCGCAGGATCGTAATAATAAGACGCCGGCTGGGTGATGCCTCTCCAGGGGTCGGCAGCTTCCTTCATCGTGTAGGCCGGATTCTGCGTGCACGCGGATGGAGAAAAAAACAAGCAGATAAATGGAGGCGTAATACACAAATGGAACCATTCTTTCAGCTGAAGCACGAACAGCGTTATGTAATACGAAAATACCAACAAAGAAGACAGTTCGTGAAGTGGCCACCATGCCATACCTAAACTCAAGCATTCAAGGTGGGAACCGAGCGTGCCGTCTGTTTCTTAATACCTTAGTTAATATATTTTTTTTTATTTTAATACGAATTATGTTACATTACACACGGTCTAGAGTTTCAAAATATTGTCTTTTAATTTGTTATTATAATAATATATCTTTATATTCGATTGCACCTCTTCAAACTGGTGCATTTGCAAAAAAAAAGAAAAAAAAACACACACATCACGTTGCTAATGTATTAAGGTCGGCAAGCTGGTACTAGTCCAGGAAGCAGCCCTAGCAGTGGGGGAAAGAAAAAAAAAAGACAGGTAATTTTTTTTTAGACTTATACGTTGTCCGACATCCATTTTCTGGTCTCCTCGATTTCGGCATTTTATGTTGAAATCCAGAAGCCCGTGAATGGGCGGACGTGTAGGGAGGCTCAAATAAAACGACGCAGGCGATGGACGATAAACTTCCAGCCGAAACTTTGTTACGCGCTCTGCCTGTACAAAACATTAAAACAAAGAAGAAGAACAAAACTGCTCAATTCCGGTTTTCCGCTTGCACCCTCCCTCCCGATCGCCGTCCGCTCGCGGAGGCGATACAAAATCTTCCAGTCGAACTCCTCGAGCAACGTACGGAGCAGCATTCCCTACCGACGCTTTGTCTCCTCTTTCTTGAATAAGAAAGAGGAGACAAAGAGGATAAGTGTCGGACTTCCTCCAAAGACGCGTCGCTGGTCTCACTCGACGCTAGAAAGAGCACGCGCAGCGTTGCGCATGCCGCCGCCTTCCCGGACTATACTCCAGCCTCCCATCGCGCCTCTGGTCGAAGTAAGAGTGCACCATTCACTTTCGCGCGCAGTTATGCACCAACAGTTTTGTGACGGGCCCGCCGAGGAGCTCCTCCCTTGAACCCCCGTGTCCCTCCGAGAAGGGAACAAAAGCAGAGCCTTCCACTCCATCGACGACGCGAGGCTCTGCCAGCGCGCGCCGTCTGCTGTTTAGACTGCTGCTCATCGTCCCATATTGCGTCGTAAGCTAAGCTGAAGCAAAAAAGAGCAGAGTGAGCTGTATAGCCTCGGCTAGGAAGGCGATCTCGCCGGGCATGCAACCAAAAAGCAGCAGCTCGAGTCAGGTGGAGGGGGATAGGAAGGGGAAGGGAAAGGGGGGGGGGGCGTGTCCCCTTCCTTTCTTTGCCTGGCTTCGCTCCCTTCTGGTGCTGAGCGTGAAGAATGACGCAGCTTAATATGAAAGGTAAGCCTAATATGCAGCGCCGGCGACGACGGGAGGCCTGCCCGAATTCCCCTGGCCGTCGGCCGCCGCGCCGCGCCGGTTCGAGACCGCACGATCCACACCCCACGTTCCCCCGACCCGCGCTTCTTTTGTTCCGAGCCACTGGTCGTCCCAGCGCTTTCTCTGCCCCAGACTTCACTCATTTCCTCCCTTCCTTCCTCCCTCCTCATTGATTTTACCACCTTTCTTTTTTTGTGTGTGTGTGTGTGCGTGCGTGTTTGTTATTTCTTCGCTTTGCTAATCTTTCAACTGTAATCCGTGGTCCGTATTAATTTTTCGCGGGTTCTCTTTCCTTCCCCTCCCCCCTGTAATTCGTTAAAGATGAGCGACAATGTCACGGCCGTCAGAATCAGACAAGTGGTGGAGGAGATATGAGGCGGGGATCCGAATCAGCGTGATTGTTTCGACAGAACGGTCGGTCTGCCTCCCTCGCGCCCCTCCTTTTCTTCCTATTTGTCTGGGTTTTGCTTCTCGTGCGAACTTCTCTTTTAGCTTGAAACAGCTATGCATGAAGTCTGATTTTAGAGAAAAAGGCTGTTCATACGACAGTTTTCGGAGAGCAAAAACTCTCAGTTCAAAGCTGTCCATCAAGTTGATGCAATTGATAGTGGTTAACATTATTTTGTTTACACGTAATACCACAATACAGTAGCCTAGTGGTACCAATGCACGGACGTGGTTTTCGGAGGAAAATTGAAAATACAGTAAAAACTTTGTTATCGGGCGTGCCCCTAAATTTGAGCGCGCGAAAATTGCTTTTCATTATTTTACGTAATTGCAGCGAGGCATTAAGTTCGGCTAGTTGATACATAGTTGAGTAATAAAGAGAAGAAAAGAAGAAAAAAAAAACAGCGCTAAAAAGACGAACGACCCTAAGAAGAGATGTACGCATACAAGGCGCTGGCTGTCGACTGAACGTTTATTTCCAAAACGGACGTGGAAATAAATAGACAAAGGAACAGACTGTGCTTCGATAGACCACCACCACTGCTGACGTAAATGATGAGGTCCTCGGCGTTCAGGGTGCATCCAGTGGAATAATTACGCCACTTGAAAGATCATTCCTCCGATCCACCTTATGACGGAGCGTAGCAGACGCTCTACGAGCAACAGAGCTGTGAAAGTATCGCGTGACGACGCGCCCCTAGCGTCGCTGCGTTGTTCCCGAGAGTTTCAGTGCCATCTGGTGGTTCGTAAAGCAGTTTAGGTTTTGCCATATCAATGGCGGAGATGAACTTATGTCGGCACCGTCACTTTCGCAAGTCAACGGCACGCGAGGAATTGTTCAGTGTGAGTTCTTTCTCGATCACTTTCAGTTCGATGGTGACCAAGAACCTGCATTCAGAACAAAGCTCCAACCCACTCAGATGCCTCGAAAAAATTCTATACACCAAAGGGCTTTAAAGCCAACTGTGTGCCGCCCACAGATTGACTGGATCTGAATTATTAGAAATAAATGCTTACGTAGCTCTTGTGTTCCATGTCTACGACGCGTCGTGCTGCCCCCCCCCCCCCCCCCCCCCCCCCAATTTACAGGCCTCGCATCCTCCGCTTAGGAGCATCTTCAACGTCTTCCTTTATCAGTCACTAGAAGGCCGCCATTGGTATGGCACAGATGCCGTTCCACAGATGATGATAGTGATCAAAGTGGCCAGACTGAATTTCGGAAAGGGTCTATTGGATTGGCTCGGAAAACAGTTTGGCTAGGGATCTCTCGCTGTCTCGAAGGCCAGCAAATAAATGAGATGATATAAATGAGGAAATACTTAGCAAAACGAAAATAAACCTAAATAAAAATTTAAACAAACAAATATGACCTGGAAGAAGCAAAAAGTTAAATGCACGATTACGTATACTTGAATTTTAAATTCAGTGCGTCCCTAAAAATGATATTAAAAATAATTGCGACAGAAAACTCATTAAGCCTAAATCCGAAAGTTTACGAAAATTGGAAAATTTACACGAGGCAGAAGGACAATGAAAATGGTAGATCTGATGATGACCGTATGCGATAGTTATGCCACAGTACACAATATATCATGAGAGCGCAAAATGCATTTTTACATGTAGTTCCACAGACATATGAAATAGGGCACTATAATGCAGGCAATGACAGTGTACACTAAATATATAGCCAAGGGAACCGGGATTTTGATGCGGCTTTTCCCTCATTCTTTCAGACATCTTCGTTTCTGCTTGTGGTGCATGTCGCGGCGCCGTTTCTTTTTCCACGCTCGCTCATTCTTGCGTTGGTAGCGGCGGGCAGCGGGCCGGGCGTCGCTGGAAAGCCCGCGGCCATCGGCCGGAACGCTTCCGCGGGCCGAGGTTTGGAGACCCCTGCTCTACACCATGTGATGATTTCGGCGACATATAACTCGATCACGTAACTCAATCCATCGCTCGATTCTCATTCAGTCTTCTCCAAAACGACCGATTCAAGCGTATCTCCCAAGGAGCATAAATTCGCGTCGATCCGACTTCGATTCATTTAGTACACCTGTCTTCTGCCCAGAGACAAAAAAGAAGAAAAGCTAAAACGGGCAAAGGGCTCTGTATTACTGCCGTGTATTAGAGCTTTTTCACAGATTATTCCGGCATCCTTACTCCTATAACAACTTTAGACAGCAATCCGAACTTCTAGAAAAACAAGGAAAAAAAAAAAAAAAAAAACTGGAAGCCCAGGGGGGTGACGGAAGGCACGCTCTGTGGTTCCTGAGGCCAAGACGCCAGCTATGTCGAGAAAAATTCCAGCACTCCTCTTTTTTTTTTTAAGTTGTTATTTAAATACTTTACGATGCCTCGTCTTTCTTTTCCGCACCCTGTTTTGCTTTGCGTTTGACTTGCGCGCGTTCGGCTTTGAACAGGGCTGCCGAAAGCGAAGAGTGAGTGGGCTTTCTGAGCCAGGCAGGGCTAATGGAGTGTCATACCTGGCCCTCGAGTCGCTGATCGAAAATGAGCGCGCGAGCCCTCTCACGCGGCGCAAAATTAAATTTAAAAAATAAAAACAAAAAGAAAACGGTTGACTGCGGCAGCCTCGTTGTTTTTAGCTTGTCTCCGTGACAGCGACCGAACACGGGGTGCACTTAGGTGGCAGACTAATAGCCCTGTTTACACGGTCATTCTGATTCACAGCAGAGTCGACTATAGTTAGCAAACACCTCGTCAGTTTTTGACCCAGACAGTTTAGATGTCTTAATGGAGTGCTAGTGCAATGACCGCTCTAGAAGTCATTTTCTTTTTGTCTTTTATTGAGATCTACCAGATGGGTAGAAGGGTGTCACCGCTGTTTTTGCTTCACTGACTATATACGCACGAATAGACCATTTGCAAAATATCCAAACATTGAAGCATACCAGGGGTGTAATTACGCGTGCTATACATGCGCTCCCATTGTCCTTTGGAAATATTCGAAGTGATTTAAATAAGGCAATTGTGAATATGCGTGGTAAGTGCCGTTTGTTTATCACCACGTACGTAACTAAAATCCTAGTTTGCTCATTGACGTTTTTATCTTTTCGCAAAATCTCTATTGAAGCGAAGGCTTTTATGTTCACAAGTAATGAAGGCTC